CGACCTGATGTGAAGAGCTGACTCACTGGAGAAGACCATGATGCTGGGAAAGATTGAAGGCAGGAGGAGAAGAGGATGACAGAGGATGAGATGGTTGGATGGCATCACTGACTCAATGGACATGAGTTTGAGCAAGCTCCGGGAGATGGTGATAGACAGGGAAGCCTGGCGTGCTGCAGTCCATGGGGTCTCAAGGAGCTGGACACGACTAAGCGACTGAACAACCATATTAGGAATGCAAAACCTCAGAAAAGTGACAAACATGACTAAGGAAAGAAGAAAAGAAGGAAGGATGCACGGAAAGAAGGAGGGAGAGAACACAGGCTCTATTGTCAGTAGTGTCTAGGCAATTATTACTTCAGTGAAACTCTTCTAATTATAGAAGAATTGAACTTTGAGCAATTCTCATCATCATGAAAAGAAGTTCTCATTCTCAAAAGACTACACGTACATCCTCCCTTACTCTAGAAATTTAACACAGGGCTAGCAATTAGAATCTGATCCAGTGAATTTACTACCTTCTTCCTGGTTTCCAGGAGTTGGATTACTGACTCCCAGACTCTTGCCACTGACTCTCCCAGGAAGAATAACATCATGACAGATATATCAGAGTGTGCTGCCAGCTTCTTTCTAATAAACCTCTGTGAAGAGCCACTTATGAAATAATTAAATGGTATTTCCCAGTTTGTGATGATGAATGACCACAGGATTTAAAGATTATTTGTTGGGAAAAAAAGAGGCAAAGAATTTTGATCTATAACTAAGTCCCAAAGGTTAGAACTCATGTTTTTAAGTGTTAGATACCATTGCAAATAAACCTTTCAAGCATCAAAATTTTAAAAGTACAGTTCAGAGGGCCAACAAGAGTCAATAATTTGGAAAAAGTGTAATTTAGGGAGACTTATTCTACTAGGTATTGAAATGCAGTTTGAGAGCTATAACACTTCAGAGTGTATGGTAATGGTTCAGGTATAAACAATGGAACAGATCAAAGAAACCAGCGAGAAGTAAATACATATGGAAATTTGATATACATCAGATATAACACTACAAGTTCCAGTGGAATTTCTAACTGGAGTACTAGAAAAATATTTATATTTTAGTAAGGGAATAAATTGCAATTAAGTATCATTAATATATAATTTGATAGTAGTACATATGTATAACTTACTCGTGACTAGATCTGAGGCAGGGTGGAGGCTCAGAACATTTTTACTTCTATAGGACTGCAGTTATCAAAAAATACTGAAAACCATTTATCAGCAAATGTGCTCTAGCAATTGGTTATCCATATAGAAAATAAAGTTTCATTCTTATCTCCCTACACAAAAAAAATACTTGTAGGGAAATTAAGGACTTGAATATAAAAATAAACTTTTAAGATTTTAGATGATTTTCAGTAAATTATCTATACAATTTCAGGGCTAAGAAACATAAAAGGAGAATACTGACACATGTGATCATATAAAAATTAGAAAAATATTATAAACAAGGTAAAAATTCAAGAGGTAGATTGTATGTAGCTAATAAAGAATTAGGAGAGTACAGAGGTAGGTTGTATCAATCAGTAACAAAAAAGACAATACTGTTGAAAAATGGTCAGTAAATACAGATAGCTAAATCACAGAACAGGAAGTACAAGTGGCCAAAAAATATAGCAATATTTGCTCTCACCGTAATCTAGGACACACAAATCAAAACAAAATTAGACGTCAATTTTAGGACCATCAAATTAGAAGAATTTAAAAGGTTGAAAATACAGGTAAGGATACATAACATCATAACAACAAGAGCTCTCAAAAGATTGGTAGAAGCAAAAACTCTGGAGGGTAATTTGGTGATTAGGTAACAGTAAGGTTAAAGGTACACAATATCTTAGTGAACCAGAAATTGATTACCTTTCTAAACATACAGCCTAGAGAACTTCTCAGTCAATACACACAAAGTTACAAGTACAAGGATGTTTATTGCTGCTGACCTTGCTCTGATGCTGCATTAGCTCTGTCCCTAGACTCAAACCCTCCCGCTTCATCCTGGTTCTGAGTCTTCTCTGAAGTTCTCTCCTCCTCAGCACTCTACTTCATACTGAGCATCTATCTTGTTGCTGGTTGGAACCCCCACATCTCTCTTCTGAACAAACTCAAGTTTCTCAGTGGCTAGGTATCTCATCATTTTTACACTGGTCCATCTTAAATCACTTTTCCATTATAACAGTTAAGACCAGTAAAATAAAATCAGTCATGGAATGGAAGACTACTTAAAGGGCTAGCACCCTTCCTCAAGATGAAAAACACTACATGAAATCACATCCTCTTTGCCTCCTCCAAACACTCTTTGTTCTGTTCTAGTAATGACTACGTTGGACCTTATATTCAAGAATGCATGCAAGCACGTTGTGTGCTAAGTCAAATCCAACCCTTTGCAGCCCCATGGACTGTAGTCTGCCAGGCTCCTCTGTCCATGCGACCTCTCAGGCAAGAACACCAGAGTGATATCTCATTGCAGTTTTGATTTGCATTTCTCTAATAATGAGTTGTGATTCATGGGGTCGCAAGGAGTCGGACACGACTGAGCGACTGAACTGAACTGAATAATGAGTTGAGGTTTGACAGAAAACAGCAAAATTCTGTAAAACAATTACCCTTCAATAAAAAATAAATAAATTAAAAAAAAAAAAAGAATACCAGAGTGGGTTGCCATTTCCTTCTTCAGGGGATCTTCCTGATTCATGGATCAAACCAGTGTCTCCTATATCTCCTGCACTGGCAGGCAGATTCTAACTTTAAAATAATTGTCACAAATATTTAGTGAGCACTTCTTAAACAAGTACTTTGGTGCTGAAACACTAAAATGAAATTCCTGCTTGTAAACAACTCAAACTTGGATTAGGAGAAATCCTTGAATGGGAAACAAGTAAACAGTTGTAAAACAATGAATGAAGTACAAAGGAGAATGTAAACACAAGAAACTGTAGGAGGAGAGAGAGAAAGTGAATTTCCAGTACCTCATGTGGGCTGGAATGAGGGGGGCCTGCTGGGTCTCATTATTCCCACTTGGGTCAGTCTCCCATTGGAAGGGCAGGAATGCAGAAGTATCCTGAGTGCAAGATCCAATCCAGGCTGGCTCAAGGACGCTCAGCCTTCCCAGACAGGAAAAGCACTACATTTAACTGTCCCCACCCCATCTCTGCAGCGACTAGGGAGATGGGAAGATTTCACAAAAAATATGACACTTGAACTTAATGTGAAGGAAATACAACAGTTCACAAGTTTAAGATCAGAGCAGGCAAAAGTCAAAGGTGTGCAAAGGCCCGTGAGAGTTGGTGACTGGAGGGTAGGGTTCCCCCAGGATTGGTGGGAGAAAGGCTTAGAAAAAGGGAGAGCAATTACTCGGTGAGGAAAGGGCCAGTGTGCTGAACTTAGAAATTTGGGCTCTATTCTATGGATGGGCCACAGTTTGTCAGAAAGATCACTGGTTCTACTGCACACAGAACAGAGTTCAACCTCCAGAACCCAGCTGGCCCAAGGTAACTTTCAAGCTTCATTTGTTGTTGTTCCCACTAAATAACTGACTTTCCAGAAAAATCATCACTGCAATGTATCATGTTTTTCATTGTAAATACTTTTCTCCTGTTCCATTGATAATGTTTGTATTCATTCTTTGAAAGCCTCCCCTTGGAAGCTTTTGCCAGCTCCCTCGGGTAGAATTAATTCATTCCTTTGTTTCATCTGCATAATAATGTTTGGGACCACTCTTAAATCACTCACTCTTCTGTTTGACAATTATTTATTAGGGATTAGACTGTACATGTTCACAGGCAGTAGAGATATAACTAAGCAGGGTGCTTAACACAGTGAGGAGTCAGAAAATGTTGGTCTCATACGCTCCTTCTCAAGGTAACAGATACCATATATGGTATATGAACTGTGGTTGGTAGTATATTAAATATGTAACCAATAAATTATGAATTTTTAAAACTCATTGTAGAAAAATTAGAACTATGACATCAAATTCAGGATTTTAGAGATATTCTGCTTAGGAAATGACTGTAATGAAAATATTAATTAGAGTAAAGAGTTCAGGAGTGAAGCCCCTCTCTGACACTCCCATTAATGAACACTGTTTAATACACTGCATAGCATTTATCATCACTTGATATATCTACATATATGTATTGCTCTCCTCTTCCTAGAGTATAAGCTCCATGAGGACTGGGATTTGGTCCATTATGTTCACTGTAGAGCTCCCAGAACTTAAAACAGTACCTGGTAAGTGTAAGGGCTCAATATTCAGTTATTTAAAGAGAATGATGGAGGTCATCGAAAGGGAGGGGTTGATGGAGGCAGGAAGAGATGGAGATTAATGTACTCATCCAATTCACAGAATCAGTATTTGAGCTGGAAGGGACTTCACTGCTCTCATTTTGCAGACGGAGCCTGGTGCCCAGAAAGGGCTGGTGATGTACTCAAGGCCACATGGTGGGAGCAGCAGAGCCTACGCGTCAACCCGGGTCACTTAACGAGAGGCTGGTGAACTCCCATGCCGTGCTCAGTCACACCCAGCTCGTTGTGACCCCACGGGCTGTAGTCTGCCAGGCTCCTCTGTCCATGGAATTTTCCAGGCAAGCATACTGGGGCAGGTTGCCACTTCCTACTCCAGGGGATCTTCCTGACCCAGGGATCTAACCCATGTCTCTTGCATCTCCTGCACTGGCAGGCGGATTCTTTACCACTGCGCCACCTGGAAAGCCCGACCTTCCCATAACATCCACATACAGGCAATATAGACAAATGGAGGTTTACTATGTATCTATAACAAACCTCAACTGCTGGAAATCCAACAATATTAATAAAATGGTATTGACTGCTTCATCCAGACACCAATAATCAAGACAGAAATAAGACAATTAAGATCGCCTGACCCACAGTTTTATGATACAAGTATCAGACAGAATTTAGTTAATATAAATATCAGACAGTTATTGATGAAAACATCATTACCTCCAAGAACCATGCCAGCCTGACAGCACTTTCTAAGGCGACATGCTGGGCAGTTTTTTCTGCGGATTTTATCAACAATGCAGTCGTTTCTTCCAGCACATAAGTAGTTATGCTGTCCTAAAAAACAACAAAAAAAGGAACAGTTATTTAAAATATACAAAGACTGCTGGGAAGCTTATGCAGTGACAACTAAAAAGAGGAGAGGTGCACATTAGCAAATGCATGACTGTCTCAGCCTGCCTCTTGCTTGGCCTAGCCGAATGCTTGTAATGCTCTAAACTTGTTCAATAAGCCTGTGCCTTCAGGAGCCTAAATTAGGGGAACACATCTTAGAAACTAATTCCAGAACTCCTTTAAAAATCTTTTGTAAAATATTTCTGTGCATCTTATTAATGGTGTCAGCATCAGAATGTCTAGATCACCATTATTTGAATATTAGGTGCGTGTTGCTGATAAGCATTAGTGTGTTAAGATAGTCAAGTTCCAGTAAAACCTTTTTTTTCTTTTTTTAACATATAAACTATCAAAAGAACAGGTATAGACAAAGAAGTCTCTGTGATAGACTTTTTAATAAAACTTATGTGCTTAATTCTTTTGGAAAATCTTGGAGCAAATTCACTCTTCAAGAATCTCATGAATTTGAATAGCATGTAAAAACCATCACTGATTATACTGACTTTACTGTCTGGTTTATCTTGGCTTAAATTAGAAAACAGGATGGAGAGAAATAATGATAAAGGGAGAACAATTTAAAACAATAAGAAAAACTCAATGAAGGACAGGAGAGAAGAATTATAGAAGAAATAAGGGTAAAACATGACCCTGTGTTCATTTTGTGATGGGTTTTTGTATGAGGTTACTTATACCCTTCAAAAAATCTGGAATAAAATTTAATATTCAACAATGATGATTATTTAAACTAAAATATGTTATATTTAATAAGGCATGGAGCAACCTAATTTATTTAGGCTAAATGAAAATGAAAAAAATTGTTGGCTTAAACATATAAATATTAATTGACTAGAAAATTCACTGCTTTGGCACTTCTTATTTTCCACTGAATTCCTATGAAATAGACTGTGAAACTTTTTAACATCATCAGATTGTTTAAAGATAATCTTAAAAGTTGGAATTTTCAATTTTAAAATATCATGAAATTTTCCTATAGTATTTTATATTGTTGTTTAGTTGCTAAGTCATATCTGATTCTTTTGCAACCCCAAGGACTGCCCCAGCAGACTCCTGTGTCCATGGGATTCTCCCTGCAAGAATACTGGAGGGGGTTGCCATTTCCTTCTCCAGGGGATCTTCCTGACCCAGGGAATAAAACCCAATTATCCTGTTTGGCAGGTAGATTCTTTACCACTGAAGCACCTGGGAAGCCCAGTACTTTGTATTAGTTGATGTTAAAATCAGATCCATTCTTTTCAGTGAAGTCAGTAGTAAAGGAATAGAGGTACCTTAAATGCGTGCTTACATGAGAGAGAAAAGGCTAAGCTGCAGGGACAAACGGCACAGAGGCCAAGTCTTATGAGATAGCAGATAACAAAATGATTCTTGACCTGGGACGTTTTAAGAAAATCAGATAGTCTTTGCTCCAAAATGGATCCCTCCACAAACTTATATTCATGTACTCTCACATACTGGGCTTCCCTGGTGGCTCAGAGGGTAAAGAATCCCCCTGCAATGCAGAAGACCTGGGTTCGATCCCTGGGTCGGGAAGATCCCCTGGAAAAGGGAATGGCTACCCACTCCAGTATTCTGGCCTAGAGAATTGCACGGACAGAGGAGGCAGGTGGGTTACAGGCATGGGGTTGCAAGAGTCAGACACCACTTAGTGACTAAACCACCAACACCACTCTCACACACCAGTGCTCATTCTCTTGCCCCTCTCCAAAGAGCAGTTACGAAGCTCCACAGCTATGCCCACTAGATCAGTGGAATGTACTGCATGCTACTTTCTAACTGGACTCTGGTTTGATTTTTATATACATATATTTTTTCAGGCTACAGGAAAGACTGTGGGAGTAAAAGCTGTGCTGTGCTATGCTTAGTTGCTCAGTCGTGTCCGACTCTTTGCAACCCCAGGGACTGCAGCCCACCAGGCTCCTCTGTCCATGGGGATTCTCCAGGCAAGAATACTGGAGGGGGTTGCCATATCCTCCCCCACAGGATCTTCCTGACCCAGAGATTGAACCCAGGTCTCCCACATTGCAGGCTGATTCTTTACTGTTTGAGCCAGCAGAGAAGCCCAAAAGTGTGTGTAACTTTATCTATTTATCTATGATCACTTATCTTGACTCTGCTCTGATTTCTCATGAGAGAACAGAAAGCAAGATTTTTCCATCCTCTCTAGAGAACACACTTAAACGATGCTCAGAGATGTAACTGTTGTCTAAGGGCAGGCTGTTCTTCTCTACACTCCTCTCTCAAAAACATCCAGGAAAAAAGCCTGAACCATCTGCAGCCGGAATGCTTGTAAGCTATCTCTTTTCTGTTTCTAAATGATTTACAATAGCACCTCCTTCTTCAGTGTCTCAGAGAAGTCCCCATTAGACGGTGCTCACTGCATCTTGCTAAAACCATTCCTTTCTACCTGCTTTCAAACCTTCCCCATCAGTTTCCTCCTAAAATCTTCAGTTGCTCCCCCTTCAAGGATGTCTTTCTTTCTCCTCAAGCTTTTCCATTTCAAAAATTCCAGAATCAAGAAAAAAAAAAAAAAAAAAAAGGAACTGTGTGTCTCACTCTAAATTCTCCTTGACTTCATCCCTTTCTTTGTCATCTAAGTTGGTGAAAAAGTCATCTGCATTTGCAGTCTTTAATCAGTTTCCTTTACTCCTCAGTTCAGTTCAGTTCAGTTGCTCACTCATGTCCTACTACTCTTCGTGGCCCCATGGACTGCAACATGCCAGGCCTCCCTGTCCATCACCAACTCCTGGAGTTTGCTCAAACTCATGTCCATCGAGTCAGTGATGCCATCCAACCATCTCAACCTTTACTCCTCAGCTTATTGGAACTGGGCTTATATGTCCACTGTGCTTATAAAGCAGACTAATGCCATCAACGATGTCTTCATTCTTAAACGCAGTGACTCTTTCTTGACTTTCTGCACAATCTGCCATGGGCAATTCTCTCTCCACAGGTTCCCTGCCCCTGCTTTTTTTATTTGAAGCATGTCTCTTCTGACTCTTTATCTTCTTTCCAACAGTTTCTTTTAAGTTCCCACTGTCCATACCTTTGCCTTTGCCTTATATGTTGTGTGCTGTGTGCTCAGCCGTGGCCGACTCTTTGCGACCCCATGGACTGTAGCCCACCAGGCTCCGCTGTCCATGGAATTCTCCAGGCAGGAATACTGGAGTGGGTTGCTATTTCCTTCTCCACCTTATATGTTGTATTCCATTGTAAACACCATGTGGGTAGTCTCATCATCTGTGCATGGCTCCAAAATTTCATCCTAAGCTCTGACCTTCCAACCACCTCCTGGTAGGTACTGCGAACTCATGAAAAGGAATTCATGTAGTTATCTGGTCAAATTGTTTCATAAACTGTGTCATTCGAGAATTTTTGTAACAGATTAAGGAAATTTGAAAAAAGGAAATTATCTACAATCTCATTGCCATGCAACCAAACGCTGGGCTGGAGGAAGCACAAGCTGGAATCAAAATTGCCGGGAGAAATATGAATAACCTCAGATATGCAGATGACACCACCCTTATGGCAGAAACTGAAGAGGAACTAAAAAGCCTCTTGATGAAAGCGAAAGAGGAGAGTGAAAAAGTTGGTTTAAAACTCAACATTCAGAAAACTAAGATCATGGCATCTGGTCCCATCACTTCATGGGAAAAAGATGGGGATACAGGGGAAACAGTGTCAGACTTTACTTTTTTGGTTTCCAAAATCACAGCAGATGGTGATTGCAGCCATGAAATTAAAGACACTCCTTGGAAGAAAAACTATGACCAACCTAGATAGCATATTAAAAAGCAGAGTCATTACTTGGCCAACAAAGGTCCGTCTGGTCAAGGCTATGGTTTTTCCAGTGGTCATGTATAGATGTGAGAGTTGATTGTGAGGAAAGCTGAGTGCCGAAAAACTGATGTTTTTGAACTGTGGTGTTGGAGCAGGCTCTTGAGAGTCCCTTGGACTGCAAGGAGATCCAACCAGTCCATCCTAAAGGAGATCAGTCCTGGGTGTTCATTGGAAGGACTAATGCTAAAGCTGAAAGTCCAATACTTTGGCCACCTCACGTGAAGAGTTGACTCATTGGAAAAGACCCTGATGCTGGGAGGGATTGGAGGGAGGAGGAGAAGCAGATGACAGAGGATGAGATGGCTGGATGGCATCACCAACTCAATGGACATGGGTTTGAGTAAACTCTGGGAGTTTGTGATGGACAGTGAGGCCTGGCATGCTGCAATTCATGGGGTCACAAAGAGTCGGACACGACTGAGTGACTGAACCAAACTGAACTGAACTTTCATTTTCAGGTTTCCTTCCAGCCTATCTATACAGATCTAGAAGGTATTTAACACCTATTTGTCAGTGAATATATGCACACTTTTAGAAAATTGTTATTAATTCAACAAGTATTTACTGAGTGTTTATTATGTCCCAATACTGCTTTTTGAGTAATCCCCTTTCCCCACTTAACTGAAATGCATCTTAATTAATGATACTATAGTGCAGAAGAGCATTTACTGAAATCAGATTGCTTGTTCAAAGCTCATATCTGAAGATTACAATCTCCAAGATGATAATAACAGCAACAATTACTAAGCACTTACTATGTACCGACCACTGTTACAAGCCATTGCATGTATTAAACTCATTTAACCATCATAGCAATCTTGGAGGTATTATCAATCCCATTTTATAGAGTTAACTGAGGCACAGGGAAGTTAAGTAACATGTTTAATGTCACATAGGCAGAAATTTTAGCTTAATTTACCCAAAAGGTTGTGTAGGAAATTAAGGGTATGAACTTTGGAGCAATACTGCATCAGTTCACATTTCTGCCTCACTATCTGCCAGCTGGGGACCTATGGCAAGTAAAAGGAGGACACTGTTAGTATTTTGGGTCAAATTTAAGAACTAAATGAGCTCATATAAGAGCTTGG